TTAATAAAAAATGTATTCACAAGCTTTGGTTTGGGTCATGCAGTAAACAAATAAAATCTATTTAGTTTTGTTTCTAAATCTTTCAGATATATTATCAAGATATTTGGAAAGAAAAAACGTACTTCGGCAACAAGTACTTATCAACGAATCATTCTCCAAAGACATCTATAGTTACATACTTTCTTAACATTACACGCGACCATCTTTTTGAAACATAATTCTACACAACCTTATTATTTTTAATATATTATTAATTTATCAATTTATATGATTATCCCGGTGGTTTCAATGGTGTATTGAAGTTCGAAAGATAACAAGACAAAAATCCAGATATTTCACCATAAAAGGGGTTCGTAAATATTTTCAAATGAATACAATATCAAAACATAAAGGCCACAATTAGTTACATTGTACAGTTAAAAAAACATCTTGTTATGAATGGATGCTAAAAGTTAAGTGAACGAAGACAGTTTAAAGATTCCCTTGCCTTTTATAGAGAACAGATTTATGAAAAAAGTTTCACAGCCTTAAACCAATTTAGAAAAAGTTTTTTTGTATTACATTTACGCTAGAGAATGAGCAATTTGAGTTTCTGTAATCTTATTCAATAAATATACCGTGAAGATAGATGATCCGATTCTGCGAAGCAGGACATGAAGCTCATCAAGGATGTACCTATTTAAAATCAAAAAAATTATTGCTTTGTTCTTTAAACAGAATTTATACCTACAAGTAAATAGAAAAAGTTATTTTTCTTTTACTTTCGTTCAGTTTCCAAAAAGTTTTAAATATATTTTTAAAGGCATTTTTAACGCACTCGGGTAAATCGGTGTTGTTCGCGTTTGACCGCCTTTTTATGGTTTAAATTTCCAGCTTCCGTAGCCGTCACTTTGAATCGCGGCAATTCAATAAAAGGAATATTCAAGAAAATAACAATTATTATTTTATTTTAGCTTAGTGTTTCTCTTCGTTTCAAATCTTTGTTCTATAATTCGCTTTTGAAAAGGATAATTAAATAGAAGAGGATCAACGCTTTCAAATTTATGTTATTAAATAAAAGTTATAAAATAACCAATTTTGGTTATTTTATAAGATTGGCAAGTTGTTGAAACTAAGAATTAAATTTAAATAAAATTATTGTCAAGAAAAAGCAGTTGTTTATTTTTGAACATCATTTTCTCAACGTTTCTTGTTAACTTTAAACACACAGTAATTCGGTTAAAACTTGCTGACTTTAGTGTTGATTGGATTGGAGTGTTTAATTTAGAAAGTAATTGTTTCTACTTGCAAGGGCTCCTTTTCTTTGATCCCTCAATATGAAGGAAATTTCCTTTTTGATTCTGAATACTGATAAAAAAGCTATGAACTGAAATACAGATAACAATAATAAACAAAGCCCCAAAAGTGTGAATCTAGTCACAAAGAGCGCCGTAATCGATTTTTAAAGTAGGTACTTTGTCTATTTTTTCGCTTGACGAACTTAACTTTGGCACTCTAAAATTACTCTTCCAAACGTCGTTATACGAGGCATGCCTTTTAAGTTTTGTCGTTTGAAGAAAAAAAAAACAACTAGAACCTTATAGTACTTTTTATTGTTTTTCAAAGTATTCACCACGTAGCTTAATACACTTTTCAAACCAGTTATTATAACATTTATTCCACTCTAAAGTGGGGGTGTTCAAAATGGCTGACGTGAAAGCGTTGACTGCTTCTTCACCGGGCTGGAACCTTTGACCACGAAGACTTTTCTTAATTTTAGGAAATGTAAAGAAATCGTTAGGGCTTAGGTCAGGACTGTATGGAGGATGGTCAAGAATTTCTACTTTTTCCTGCTTCAAATACTCCATCGTTTGACGAGCGCTGTGTGAGCTTGCGTTGTCGAGGTGCAGAATGATGCGTCGCTTTGAGTTAGATTTTCGAAGTTCGGCGATGGCTTGTGGTAAACAAACTGTGGTATACCACTCTGCGTTAACCGTTCTACGATCTTCAAGTGCAATAGTCGCAACATGGTCGGTTTTTGCAACGAACGTGACGAGAACGAACAACTTTAGTCGGCTCTGGCTCGTCTTGAAAGACCCAGATTGTAGATTGTTGTTTGGAATCAGGACCGTAGGCATAGATCCAAGATTCGGCACCACTGATGATGTCGTAGACGTGATTTGACTCTCCTCGGTTGAACCTTTGCAGAGTTTTCTTACACCATCTGACGCGGGCCGCCTTGTGATCGTCGGAAAGCAGATGCGGTATCCAACGGCAAACTAGCTCTCAACACCAAGCGCTTCTTGCAAGATCTTCTGAATGGTTGGTAGAACCTAATTTAAACACATTCGAATATAGAACAGTTCCAAATTCAAAATTGCCGGGAAATATGGAAACGACAGAACTTAAAAGGCATGCCTAGTATACACACATGAACAAAACAACTTTCTGATTTTTTTTAAATTCACTTATACTGTGAAAACTAGTAACATAACCTAGTGCTGTTTATATTTTTAAACCTAAGAAGAAGGATCTTCGAGCAGATGGACAGGTCACAAAGTAATCCTATAATGTTTTTTGTTTTTTTTTTTTTTGAGAAACGGAACTGTAAAGATTAACTAATTTACAAGAACAATGTATTCTCACATTTATTAGCATTTGAGTGGTATATTTCCTAAAAAAAGCATTCTGTCTATCTGATGGTAGCAATTTTGCAGCGCTAGAAGCACTATAGTTAATTGATTAACAAAATTAGATACAGCTCTCGCACGTATCACGTATCACGCCCATCTCGCTAATCTCTTTTATGTTTTAAGCTCACAATACTGTGCTAAATTATAACCAAAAGTACAAATCAAATTTTATCAGTAAGCTTGTGCTCGAAACTCTTATTGTTTATTCTGTGGTCGCATGTTACTGTCACTTTCCCCGTCCCCTCCCACCAAATACTGACCTCTGGGACGGTCCGGTAGGTACTTTAACAGTTGGGAGAGAACGTTCAAACGAAAACCAATTTACTCTAACTCCTAAAATCACTCGATGGCTCAATTTGTAAATTTAAAACTCGTTTTATTTATATTTTATGTACAGTTTGAAATGATCTTTAGACAAACTTAATTTCTTGTTATTTTCTAATGAAAGTTTAAATCGTGAACGTTTATTTAAATAAAATCCTTATATTTTAGATAGATTTTAAAAGATTTTTTTTGTATGTTTAGCAAGATATGTACAGATGCCGTCATCAGACATTAATCAGAGGATTTTTGTCAATAAAGTACGTCGATAAATGTCAGTATGCCTTGTAAGATGCCGTCGGATATCCGGACGATGCGTCACCGTCCACCCCTGATAGGTACATTTTGTTTGTGATCCTTCCCCCTTGTTAAGCGAATTACGTTATGGAAACACAACAGCGTCTTTGTAACCCTCGATATAAAATTCCTCCTACTTGATAAATCTTAGGGACCGAACACTCCAAAGGGCTCCTTTTGCCTTTTACAGATTACCTATTCTATCAATAATAATTAAAACTCGATATTTAAGTCCTCCAATAAATTCTTGTTTATGCTTAGCGTCTGTCGTCTGTATAATAGATCCATTTCACGGCAAGAAATTAATTTTGTATTGCACTTAGATTATGTACGGCACCTAATCTAGGTTACAATGAATAATAAATGCTTTTAATTACCTGTCAAGGGTAATAACAGACGTCGGTTAGTTATAAATTGTTATTGATATAATATAATACACATACCTTAAACAAATAATTATAGGTCGTCTATTGACGTATCGATCGTTCTAGGAAATAAGTAAGTAGAGTGATGGTTTGCATATACGTATGTGAAACTATGTAGTATATATAATTTTGTTATATTGGTACATAAAAAAAGCAGAATCTAGTATAATACCTATATGGTTTTTTTCCACATCAGAGAGTACTCCAAAAATGTTGTACTTAGAGTGCCGTGCGTTATCCTAGTTCATGACCTAGTTGAGTGGTTTTTTTAAATATCCAAGTGATAAGAGAATCTTGGCACACAGTTAAAAGGCATATTTAAAGATCCAATGACGTAAGATCTACAACAGTTTTACTTAATACTACTTTTTGATTAGCAGAATGTTATTGGAAATACTAATTTGTTGCGGCACAAAAATACCATATTTAAAAACAAATTAAGCAATATCGTACATAATAATAACTACAACATATATAGAATAAAGAAGTTTATCACTAAAAAATAATCAAGTTACTCTCGGGGTTTAGTTTACTTTAACTAATTATGCCTGTACTATCCAAAAATATGTAATCTATAAGCAAAGTTGACGTGGGAAGTTATAGAAAACAAGAATAATGTTTCAATGCCTAGTTATGACTCATTCTAAAATTGTAGATATTTTCATAATAAATCATCTCACAATAACAATATCATTCAGCTAATAAAAACTCAAGTGGCACTTATAACAATTTTCATCAAAGGAATAATAGTACTTAAACATTACCCGAATACGAAAAAAATAGACTGTGTCGTAGCTATGCTTATGATTCTTATCGAGATTATAACAATTCTGAAATGTAATTCCAGTATTTGTCTCGTATAATATGAATTTGAATTGAATGTATGTGTAAGCTGTAATAATTTATATATATCTTATTAACGAAATTGTTGCTAATGCGTTAACATAACAATTTAAAAATATTTAGACTTAAATAAAAGATTTAAAAACAGTCCTTTGTTCAAATATTATAAATTAAATGAAACATTAATTTAACTAAAACAATAAAAACATTATGATAACACGAAACCCCAAATTAAAGTACCGACCCGGCTCAAATAAATGACAAAATTAATTTTTAAGTTCCAAAGTTTTATGAAAGAGGTCGAAAAGATTAAAGAAAGTAACTTAATAAAACCGTCAAAAGCATTATTTCCGAAAGAGGAAAAATAAATCGGATTTTATACAAAACTTTTTACAAGTTACCAGTGAACTCTATAAAAATGCTAATTGCACTATCAACTCACCTGTCGTTGTATAGCAGCCAGTCAATAACTCTATCCATATAACACAATATAAATGTATAAAAGGAGTCATTATGTCGGAGTCACATAAATTAATATAGTCCTTTTTGTGGTCGCGTGGTTCACCTGTGATGTTGGGATCGGGCGCGTGTGGTAGGAAACACTTGGGCGGGTGTCAAGCGTCCCATCGCTGGGCGGGCTGCGGAGGCACTGCCGCGGGGCGCCACTCCGCCGCGCTAACTACCCCCAGCCGGATAAACAAGGGCGAGAAACCGGGAACAGCCGAACAGGCAGACAAGCCGTCTCGCTAGCCTTTATGACCGCGACTGAGTAACGGCATAATAAAATAAGACAAAAGACGAGTAAAGAACAAGTCGAGCGCGGATTTCACTCGGATGTGAATCATCAAATTAAATCGGTAAGAGATAAACTTGGAGTTCTATCTGTGGCAACAATTTTATTATAAGAAAACAATGTCGACTGTCAAAGTTGCTACATTCTATCGTATCGGATGGAGGGGCTAACTAAATTAAATGCAGATAAATTAACTGGTTGTTTAGATGTGACAATAATTTAGTTTGTCGATCGATCGATAGATGGCGTGTCACACTAATTCTGAATCGCGATATAGTTATGTTCACACGGCGACGTAAATAGACCAGAGATTTATTGTTAATTAAACCCTTCAAGGTACATGTATTGGTTCTATATTTGTGTAAATATATACAGTATAGTGCGATACGGTGGTTTTATTCGAATCACCCCAGTGACGCGACAGTGGTGTCATTAAGTGCGCCGTGCGTACATAGTGGTCCTTCGTTGCCGGACATTGGAACCTGGCTGAAGAGGGCATTTTTAGCGGTGGACAACCGCTAGCGTCGGAGACGCGCACCTATGGGCAGTGGATCGCTGCTCGGGGCGCTAACATTCCCAAGGTGGGAAGTCGTCGCAGTGAGCTGGTGTGACGACGAAACAGCTGGGAACTGAAGGCGAGGTATCACCCAGATACCAACAAGGTGCATCTTCGATGGCGCGGACCTGAACTAGGATCCTGGAACATTCTTAAACTAAAGTGAGGTGCTGTAAAACTGTAAGTGTTTGAACATTTTACTTCTTAGCAATAAAGTGAAAAAAAACTTAGTAAATTTAAAGTTTCTAGTGCATGAACAATAAAAATTACAAGTGTTTAGGACTTAGAATAATTTTCTAAAAAGTGAACAGACGGCGAAGCTATGCCCGATTTTTGTCCAAGTGTTTAAAATAAAAAGACTTAGAAAACTTTGCATAAAAATCTTCTACACTTAGAAAAATTTTAGTCGAATTGAAGTGAAGAATATTACGAGTGTATAAGAATAATTTCATCATGGAGGCATACAATAAAGTTCAAATAAATTCAATGAATAGTATTGTACGCAATAGGACGAACTTTAAAAAATCGCCTAAGGAAAGAATCACTAAGGTCTATGTTACCGTAAGGTTGGAAAATCTGGAAGTAAAGTGGACATCTTTCATTGAAACTCACAAGAAAATTATTAGCGAAATTGATGAAACTGAATATAATGCATCACAATATAGTACTGCAGGAGTTTATGAGATGACAGAAGATTTGTATTTAGACTATAAAACAGAACTAAACGAAATTCTGGCAAAATTAAACAAGTCTGATACAATTGAAAAAAGTGTCTGTTCAACTGAAAAGCCCAGGCCAACTTCCAATGTTAAGCTCCCGAAAATTTCTTTGCCCATGTTTTCGGGTCAGTACGCTGATTGGGTTAGCTTCCGGGACCTTTTCTTGTCATTAATACACAACAATCAGTCGCTGGACGATGTTCAGCGTTTGCAATATCTAAAGAGTCATTTAACTGGAGAAGCTGATCAACTTTTAAAAAATGTACCCATTAGCAATGTTAATTATAAAACATGTTGGGAGCAATTAAACACTCGATACAACAATAAAAGGTTTATGGCCAATTGCATTTTAAAACGATTTCTTAGTCAGAAAAATATTGTCATTGAATCAGCATCAGCACTAAGAGAACTATTGGATTCAAGCAGCGATTGTTTAAATGCTCTCAGGAATTTAGACATCAATGTCGATTCATGGGACATTATTGTCATACATATTTTAAGCTTAAAACTAGATGCAGACTCCAGAAAGTTGTGGGAAGCGAAAATTTGTGAATTTTCAGAAGAATTACCTACGTGGGAACAATTCAAAAAATTTCTGGAACAACGTTTTCGCTCCCTAGAATTTCTGGACAATAAAAGCTCAAAAAACCATGTTAATAAAAATGTTCCTGTCAAAACTTTACATGTAGCTACTAAGTTGTGTGTTTATTGTGGATCAGATCATAAACTCGGTCACTGCAAAAAATTTGGTAACGAAAGTGTAACCTCACGTCGTAACTTCGTCCAATCAAACGGGTTATGTTTTAATTGTCTCGGATCAGGTCATGCGGTTTATGCCTGTCATTTGCCGACAAGATGTCGAATATGTAAACGGAAACATCACTCCTTATTACATTCTAAGGATGCGTCAACAGTTCCAGCTGACTCAAAGGAAGATATTAAGCAATCAGTTGATACTAAAGAAAACCAAACCAGTACAGTTACCAATTGTGCTGCTGCTGGTAGCAGCCAAGATTTATTGCCCACAGCCTTAGTTAAGGTAAAAACCGGTACAGGTACAGGAGTTGTCTTGCGTGTGTTGCTTGACCAATGTTCACAGGCTTCATATGTAACGGAATCAGCAGTACAACTCCTTGGGTTAAAGAAGCATACTTGCTATAATACCGCACTTAGGTTGGGAGAAGACGAGGAAGGTAAGAATGCATTGACCTCAAAATATGTTGTGTATCCAAAATTGCAATCAATGCATGATCCTAACTCAATTGTAACAGTTAAAGCTCATGTTCAAAAACGAATTACATCAGTTTTGCCAATGCAACCAATAGGGAGTCCATTGTGGCCACAGGTGCAAAATAAGAACCTAGCAGACCCTACTTGGAACAAACCTGGAAGAATAGACATGTTGCTAAGTTCTTCAGTGTATAGTAAAGTTATAAAACAGGGACTTAGTAAAGGACCTCCAGGTTCTTTGATAGCACAAGATACAACCTTAGGGTGGATTCTGTCGGGAGAAGTATCAGAAAATAAAGGTATAGCAGGTAACAAGAGCCATTGTTACTTAACACTCCAAGATGACCAAAATTATCTAGGTCGGTTTTGGGAAATAGAAGAAGCTGTAGTCTCAAAAAAACACTACACTGAGGAAGAAGAAGAATGCGAAGCATTTTACAGGAAGACTACTGTTAGGGACTCTTCTGGACGTTATATTGTTAAACTGCCTTTTAAAACAACTAAGAAGAACTGCGTACATGGTCGAACAAAAGATATTGCATTACGCAGGTTTCTTAGTTTAGAGAAAAGGTTAGCCCAGAACTTAGATCTCAAAAAGAAATATTCAGATGTAATTAACGAATATCTCGAACTCGGTCATATGGAACCGATACCGCCAGAAGAAGTGAATCGAGAAGATGTGGTATATCTTCCTCACCACGCTGTTTTAAGGGAAGACAAAACTACTAGCAAGGTTAGGGTAGTATTTGACGCCTCTTGTTTGGGTAGAAATGGAGTGTCGCTGAATAGTGAACTAATGACGGGTCCAACCCTACAAGCGGATTTGCGACATACTGTATTGAGATGGCGTATATACCCTATTTGCATTGTTTCAGATATAGTCAAAATGTACCGACAAGTACTTGTTTCTAATGAAGACGTGGATTTTCAACGCTTAGTATGGCGATCAGACAGCTCAGAACAAATTAAACATTTCCGTCTTCTAAGAGTAACGTTTGGAACGGCGGCAGCTCCGTACTTAGCCGTCAAAACGTTGCACCAGCTGGCAGAAGATGAAGGAGATAGGTACCCAGTTGCGAAATCTATTGTTATGCAGAATTTTTACATGGATGACATGATGGCTGGTTGTCAAACTGTGTCTGAAGGAAGGGAAATTTATAACCAAATGACGGAACTATTAGCAAAGGGAGGCTTCGAGTTGCAAAAATGGAGAAGTAACAACGAAGAATTGTTGAAATACATAAACATTGATAAGCAACAAGAAGAAAGCCATGAACTAAAAATTGATAATGTGATCAAAATCTTGGGACTTACCTGGCGTCGGGAGTCTGATGAATTTGCTTACACGGTGAAACTACCTGCTTCGAAGATACCTGCAACAAAAAGAAACATTATCTCCCACATCTCCATGTTGTTTGACCCCTTAGGCTGGCTCGCACCTGTAATCATAAAAGCGAAAATACTAATACAAAAATTATGGTTGTCAGGTATAGATTGGGATGAAGAGTTGCCAAGCACATTATTGAATGAATGGCATACTTACCGGGATGAACTTGAAAATCTAGTTCCATTTCGAGTACCTAGATGGCTTCGAACATCACTTGGTGATTCAGTAGAGTTGCACGGATTCAGTGATGCATCTAGTCTTGCTTACGGTGCAGTAATATATATCCGTGTCGTCGATGACCAAGGTGGTGTCCATTCACGTTTGGTAACAGCAAAAACAAAGGTCGCACCCATTAAGCAAATTTCAATCCCTCGTCTTGAGCTGTGTGCTGCAGTATTACTAGTAAAATTATTACGTGAAGTTGGAGAGGTGTTGAATATTGAAGGGCATCTCATTTATGCATGGACAGATTCTTCAATAGTTCTTGCGTGGCTTAGCAAACATCCCTGCAATTGGCAAACATTTGTAGCAAACAGAGTTTCAGAGATATTATCCGTGGTCGGTAGAGGTCAATGGGGTCACGTTAAGTCAGCTGAGAACCCGGCAGATTATGCATCCCGGGGAATGAATCCAACAGAGTTAATCTCAAGCACATTGTGGAAAGAAGGACCTTTGTGGTTGAAGGACAAGGTAATCGGCCACGAAAACCGGAAGGAATACAAAACAGATCTAGAACAAAAGGCTAAGGTAATCAGTCTTGCAACCATGAGTAACGAAGAACTGGCAGTATGGTCGAAGTTTTCATCGTTAAGTAAATTAATTAGAGT